TTTATAGTGGGTAAATAAGTATAAGTCGTCTTATAAGACATATATAACATGAATTTACTCAGCTTCTAAATTTTTGACATACTCCTTTGCCTACCCACGATAGATATGTATCATTATCATTGACCATTGACCCTGTCAATAACAGCAGGCCACAGGGTTGCCATATCTAAACTGCCAGTTCTCACTTGTCAGCATTTTGACAGGTCGTTGAAATGCCTAATTACCCAAAGTTCAAAAAATCCTTGTTATTTTCGATTAGTATTGGTTAGTAATATCCTTAATCTGAATCGCGAAAAGTTAACAGCTGATATTTGGTATTTTGACGTTTCGACATTTCGCTAATAGGCATTCCAAACAAAATGGCTGCTAGTGCGTTTTGACCACTGATCTGTATTATTTTTCAGTGGGTTTGACCTCAGATTTTGACAGGTTATGATGTGGTTATGATATAGCAACCTTTGGTGCGTTTGATTTGATCATCGGAGATCTCCGAGCGCTGCGAACGTGTTTGAATTGACACTCCGAGAGATCCCTAAAGTGTTTGTTTTCCTTTGGAGCGAGAACATAGAGCGAGCTCGATGTTCTCAGAGCAGATGGATCAAGAAGAGGGAAAAATTTGTCTTTGTCTCTACCTATCTCTTTTTAACTAACTTACAAATAAATTTGAATCTCAAAATTAAAGACCAGACAAGAAGTCAACAAATTACTTAGCGCTTTTGTCTTATAGCTAAAATTATTCGTCATAAAAAACACAAAATGTGTGTTTGGAAAATACATTTTCTCTGTCCAGATCTAATCACCAGTAATCACAGGCATGGAGTATGAGAGGAGAGCGAAGCGGGCATTTATGGTATATGCTGCATTTCAGGGCCATTACCCCTTATTATTAAATTTTTTTCCATTTTCTTTACTTTTTGCTCACTATTTTGACCTGTGATTTTGACACACAAACCAGAAACAAGAATCACAAAAAAGCGAGGTTATGTTTTTTAATCTGTTTTATTTGATTTGATTCAATGCTCTATTGTGACGTCATCACTTCTCGGTCTCCTCGACGCTCGCTCGATCGAGTTTCAAATCAAACGCCCCTTAAGTGGTCCTGGTGATTTGACAGAGTCAATGATATGGACAGTTATATAGATTGATCATGCATGTTTTTCAAAATAAACATAAGCTTATTCCTTGAAGTAAAAATTGTTATTTAAATTAAGTGAATACATCTGGTATTATCGTCAAGATTCAACTAAATTAAAAAATAAACGTCACAAATGAGAAAAACAATGATATTAAAAAGAAAAGATTTATTAGGGCAAACATTTAACAAAATAAATAAAATTATTTTTAAAATATCTTTTTCAAAGGGCAAGACAAAATGGCTTTAAACAAACATTTTGAGAGCAATTAAACCGTTTTTCGACTTTTAGTTCCTATTTTAAAAAACAGGTTACTTTTCGCCAGGTTCCATTTTTTTACATATCAACCTTTTCACCGACACAAATAAATGCTTGCAATACCATTTTAGCTTCAGAAAATGGCGTTTAAGTTATATCTCCCTTCACCGAAAGTAGCAAATCTGGACGACAGAAAATGCTTGCAAAAGAGTTTTTTATTATTGTTGATGTCTAGAAGCATGCAAAAAACGAAAAATACATCGATAAGCTACTTTACTTTGAAGTTGACATATTTCACGACAGTTTTCACCACTGGGACACAGTACATGTTGTACACCCCCATCCTTGTGCTCAACTACAAATAGCAGGCATAAAACACTACGTGTCACTTTTTGCAGTCAAATGAAGGACCAAAAGTGTGTCAGACATTAAAAATGTACCTTGTTTCACATTTTATAACAATATACTTATTTAATGTTTAGAATAATAATTATGACGTAGATATTTTTTTATTGTAATCGGACTCTATTTATTCCTGCTATTGTTAATCTCTCAACTTTCTGCCAGTACAATGACTGAACCTGTTTTTTACGATTTACCCGCCATCAAAACAAACTATTTGTTTGAATTTCCAATCGAAACGTACTAGAAAAATCGAAGCCGATAAAAAGTTTATAGCAGGAATTAACTTTCGGTCGGCACGCCGGCAGGCATTCACGCCTCTAATTCCTGCAATATCTCGAAACGAGAACGTATCTAAAGGTTGCGAATGGCTAATAATTGACATTTTCGAATCGTTTAGTGTATTGGTTTTTTTTTTAAGCCAGCAACGGCGACATTTCAGACACAATGTTTTCCGTGAATCTGCAGGAAATTCCTGCAACAAAATAAGAAAGAGAGATTTATCGCTGTGTAGTTTAAAGAGAAAGGTCGAAAGTGACAATTTCTGTGTAAACTACAAGTTGTTTTGATATTTAAAATGATTGTAAATTGTCAACTATAGTTTATTGAGCAACTAACCACAAATACATTAGTATCTCATGTACGGCCAACAAATCCTTGCAAATGCGATTAATAATATTTTTTGGAAGTAAAAATTGAAAACAGCAGAGTCCAAGTACACTTCCTTGATATATCCTTTTAATTATTCTCGTACAGTCTGAATATGTACCAGAGAGCTTAACTTATTATGTTCTATTATATAAGCAATTAAAGATCAAATTATCAACGCAGTTAATAAATTAAAAAATAAGTTAACCTGTGGTCCTGATAATGTTTGATCCAAACTGGTAAAAAATTATATAGGTTTTTTTGTCAGTTCCACTCTTTTACATATTTAATCGTATACTACAAGAAGAGGCCTATCCAGACATTTAGAAAATATCTAGAATGTGTCCTGTTTAAATATCTGGAATCTTTCCCTTTTTCAAAGCTGGTAAAGTTTCTGATATATCAAATTACAGACCAATCGCATTAATCTCAGTTTTTTCAAAATCTTTGAAATTATATTTTCTAATATATTATTAGGGTTGCTAGACGTCACGCTCTTGGCGTGGCTGCCACGCTTTTTGACTTGCCTGCACGCTTTTTAGCAAATTCCACGCTTTTTAAAAGCCGCAAAGGAATCGGATTTATACAAAAATAGACCGGGTAGAAATGATCACAAAAAATGGATCTGAGTAGATAAGAATGCTCTACCTACTCGTTTTTTTTTTAGAAATTATCACAAAATTTGGACCTGATTATATAAAAATGTTCTATCGTCACGGTTGCCACGCTTTTCACTTCCGGAAATGTGGCAACCCTATATATTATATTCCCACGTAAAAAATTCAATCACGGAATACCAACATGGTTTTGTAAAGCTCAGAAGTACCGCGTCAAATCTGTGTACATTTACGCAATACATATCTAGTTCTTTAGACTGTAGAAATCAAGTTGACGTCGCATACACAGATTTTAGTAAAGCATTTGATAAGGTGTCTCACAAACAATTACTTCTGAAACTGAAACAATTTGGTGTTTCAAAGAGTATGCAATCAGTGTTAAAATCTTTTTTACTGATCGACAGTTATATGTTGAATACAAGAGTGCCAAATCTTTTAATTTCGTGTCAACATCAGGGGTTCCTCAGGGCTCGAATTTGGGCCCATTATTATTTGTTATTTTCATTAATGACATCTGTCATTGTATCAACTCTAAGAAACTTTTGTTTGCAGACGATATAAAAATGTATAGGGAAATAAAGGATACCTCAGATTACATTGCTCTTCAAAACGACCTTGTCAACTTACATAACTGGTGGATCGTAAATAAACTATCTTTGAATACTAACAAATGCAAAATCCTGTCCTTTTCCAGGAAAGTAAACACTGTCTTATAATCTTGTTAATCCCCGGACATATAATTACAGAGATTTAAGTATATTATTTGACAGCAAACTGACTTTTTCGGAACACATTGAAAACACTGTACAAAGTGCAACAAAAATCTTGGGTTTGGTTATTAGAAACTGTAAAAAGTTTAAATCTTTAGAAGCCATCTTCTCTGTTTATTTTTCACTAGTTCGTAGCAAACTGGAATAATGCAGTTGTGTTTGGAATACTAATCATTTAAAGTACATAAGTGCATTAGAATCTGTCCAAAGAAAATTTTTCATATTCATATTCATCTATAAATTAATTAATAATTCTATAGATTCATCTTCTCTGCTGTCTCATTTTAATTTTTATACCCCACGTATTACGTCAAGGTTAAATAAAACATTTCATATTCAAGTGCCAAATTCACATCACTTTCACAGTTCTTTAACTACAATGTGTAGAAATGTCAATCAGTTTTCTGTTGATATATTTTTTCTAAAATTTTACCAATTTAGAGAGCAATGTTATAGATTGGTATCAAATCAAACTTTGTCTTTTTAAATATATTATATACTCCTGTAATTGGGCTGATAAAGCCTGTTGGATGTATTAATAAATAAATAAATTAATAAACCACAGCAAAGTGCCTAAGTTTTGCTAATATTAACTGATGATTTACTAAATCAAATGTTTTACTTGGATCTAATAATTTTTTCACTAGATTTATTAACTCTTCAAAATCTAATGACTTTTTAGGTTGGTTATACTGCTTTTCTCAATACGTTTTTTGTTGTTGGTAACGCTGTTTGTCTCTAGATTTAGTATATTTTCAAAATATAGTAAGTCACATCTGTCTTTTTCCATCTGCCATATCTACCCGCTAGATTAATGCCGTCATTTTTCATGATAAATTCTAGGTGATGCTATCTAGCGACAGCTATGACAGTTGATAAATGTTCCGAAAAAAGTCTATTGACAGACAATGTTGCCAACATAAAAATCTAGTGAGCAGAGCAGTCTTACCAACCTACTAAAAAAGTTACTCGATTTGAAAAGTTACTAATTCTAGTGACAAATACGCCTTTTGGGATTTTACGATTTCCAATGTTAATTTATATAAGATTTGGCCCAGAACCGGTGTAGCTTTATTCCTGTTAATACTACTTGCTTTTACTAATTTTTAATACGTCAAAAAACACTACAGGGCAAATAAGAAGTGGTCTTAATAGAGTCGACATTATTTTTCAGAAATCAAGAGCGCGTACAAAAAACGTCAACTTTGTTCTCTAATAGGAGTTGAAGGAGGTCACTCATTAGCTGGAAGTTTGGCCGTCCTGAGGACACTCTATCACGTTGGAGTCAGATATTTGACGCTCACTTCTACTTGCAACACGCCGTGGTGAGTTCTTTTTTCTGTATTTCTTTTTAACATTAAGTAAGTAGCCAAAGAATTTTACGTAAGGACACAAAGCAACTAAGCAACTATAAAGATTTACATTTAAATTCTTATAGATAGAAACGTCAACGTTAATTCAGACAAAACGTGGGTTGAGCGAGCAGATAAAAGAGGTTATGTTTCCTCAAATCATTAATAATTCAAATATTCGGGGACTATCTCAGATAAACAAATGAATAATGGATAACTAACGGTCTTTAATGTGATTCGTCTATTTTAAATAGCAGCTCCAAAATTTTCTCACAACTGTCAACAAGCACTAGGGAACTGCCAGTCTTAAAATTACTATTCAATGTTTATTAACTCTAAAATAGGTTTCCTACAAACTTCGAGGCAATGGAAATTTAGATTCAAAACCTAGAATTAGGAACGGTTGAAGTTGATAAAATTAACAAAAACATTCAAATATATTGGAAACAGTTTTTAAATTATGATTTTGTTATGAATTCTACCGGGAAAGACGAATTTAAAATTGGAAGCAATTCCTATTTTTAACCGACTCCAAAAAAGGAGGAGGTTATCAATTCGTCGCGATATTTTTTTTATGTATGTTCAGCGATAATTCTTTAACACGGTGTCTGATTTCAATAATTTTGTTAGAAAGGGGCTACTTCAGGGGTGGTCCCATATAAATTTGGTCAAAATCTAATAATTGGGGCCATGAGAAAATCCTCAAACTCTTCATTTTTTATGTATGTTTAGCGATTTACAAGATTTTTTTTATTGGTAAGGGGGTACCTCAGGGGTGGTCCCATATAAATTTGGTTAAGATGTGGTGATGGCATCTGCACGTTTTTGAAGTCGGTTTTTTTTTAATTTTTAATTTGTAATACTTGTATTCAATTCTCAACTTGATCCGTCTTCAAGTAAGTTATACAAATATTATGCAATACAATACCTACAAATTATTTATCTTCAAATAAGTTATACAAATATTATGCAATACAATACCTACAAATTATTTATACATTTTAAACTTAGAGTTTAAAAATTAATGCTATATTGTATATACTACTTGACAAAGAAAAATAAACTACTCCAAAGAGTTTCTTGTATTGTCCGAAAAATACCAATGAATTATACTTATAGAATGATTATATTGTAAATATTTTATAATTCTTTTTAGGGTAAATTTTCTTCCTACGTAGTGAAAGACAGAGTCTAGAGGAGATTTATAATCATAATTTTCACATACTGGATCAGAAAACTAAAGTTTTTCGACCGACATGCTCCAGAAGCTATAGAATAGGTTATTCAATTTATAAATAAGACATCTATGAAAGAGTCTACATTCAGAGAAAAAAGTTATGCTAAAAATAATAGGTAAATTTAAAAATGCCCGGAAACATAAATGCTCTGAAAATCTTTAAAATTTGGTCCCAAATACTCTACTTAAACAATTTTATCTTAAATTAACTTTTAAGGTGCTCTTGGAGGCTGGAAGGGAGTGCGGATAAAAAATCGAGTAACACCGAAACGTTCGACCTTTGGTTTCTATCACATACTTTGATGTAGTGGTTTCTATACACGACGGACATATTTATTTGTCAATTTCTATTCAGAAGTTGATTTTGTTTTTTAGATGCGCATATTTTGGTATAAGTGTATTTTTTATGACGTGTCATCATTTTTAGAAATAAGACGTCATCACCAGTTTTTTAGTTAGCCCCATCATTTTTAATAGTACCATTTAATAGATACACAAGCAAAAAAATTCTTAACCGGTCCCCCATTTCTTCACTTTTTTCTAGGGAGGCAAGGAGGGTAAACTTAAAACGCTATACAGGACATTATTTTGATCCGATTCAAATGAAATTTAGGCATCAGGGTCTAGAACCTAAGAAATAAAAATGACCTGGAATTGAAATTAAAGGAAAAATATTATGCAGGGACCAAAGAGGGCGAGACTTTTGGTACTATTTACGCCATCCCTCTTTTCAAAATACGGCAAAAGTAAAATCTGAGGATTTTTAATGAATCCGTATTTACCCATCCCTCCCCAAGATCCCCAAGTCACCCAAGAATAACCTGTAAATACGCCATTTAAATTTGTAGTTCGAAAATAATATTCCGTGTTCGAACAAACCTGAATCGATAACAAATCACTGAAAATGTTGCTAGAGTTAGGAACGTTTTTATAGAAAAAATTTTAATGTTACTATTTTATACTAATAAAGTCACAGTTAATTTATTTTAGCGTTTTATCTAAATGTAAATATATTATCTAAATGAAATTAATGCCACTATACATGGTTTTAGATACATTTTTCTTTAATTTTTAATCGAATTTTCCTTGACAAAATATTTACAAAAGAATCTTTTGGATTGTGATAAAAACTATTTGATACGCCCATGGAGACCAAAACTGTCAGAAGTTCGTAGATACTGGCTTCAAACAAAGCCTATGTTAAATGGCGTCCGTTAGTTATCTATATTTCATTTGTTTGGATAAAAACTATTTGATACGCCCATGGAGACCAAAACTGTCAGAAGTTCGTAGATACTGGCTTCAAACAAAGCCTATGTTAAATGGCGTCCGTTAGTTATCTATATTTCATTTGTTTGTCTGAGGGGGTAATACCATTTATGATTGTTTTTCAGTACTTTCTTTAATTTAAAAATTACAAGAGCGTGATTTTGTCAAAAGATCAAGCTTTTGACCGTTCCTAATACAATTATTGTAAGTTGTCTGTGAGAATTATAATAAAATAAACGGTCATTAAAAAAACTGTAGTATCTATTTTCCCTATATTATATTATATTATATTATATTATATTATATTATATTATATTATATTATATTATATTATATTATATTATATTATATTATATTATATTATATTATATTATATTATATTATATTATATTATATTATATTATATTATATTATATTATATTATATTATATTATATTATATTATATTATATTATATTATATTATATTATATTATATTATATTATATTATATTATATTATATTATATTATATTATATTATATTATATTATATTATATTATATTATATTATATTATATTATATTATATTATATTATATTATATTATATTATATTATATTATATTATATTATATTATATTATATTATATTATATTATATTATATTATATTATATTATATTATATTATATTATATTATATTATATTATATTATATTATATTATATTATATTATATTATATTATATTATATTATATTATATTATATTATATTATATTATATTATATTATATTATATTATATTATATTATATTATATTATATTATATTATATTATATTATATTATATTATATTATATTATATTATATTATATTATATTATATTATATTATATTATATTATATTATATTATATTATATTATATTATATTATATTATATTATATTATATTATATTATATTATATTATATTATATTATATTATATTATATTATATTATATTATATTATATTATATTATATTATATTATATTATATTATATTATATTATATTATATTATATTATATTATATTATATTATATTATATTATATTATATTATATTATATTATATTATATTATATTATATTATATTATATTATATTATATTATATTATATTATATTATATTATATTATATTATATTATATTATATTATATTATATTATATTATATTATATTATATTATATTATATTATATTATATTATATTATATTATATTATATTATATTATATTATATTATATTATATTATATTATATTATATTATATTATATTATATTATATTATATTATATTATATTATATTATATTATATTATATTATATTATATTATATTATATTATATTATATTATATTATATTATATTATATTATATTATATTATATTATATTATATTATATTATATTATATTATATTATATTATATTATATTATATTATATTATATTATATTATATTATATTATATTATATTATATTATATTATATTATATTATATTATATTATATTATATTATATTATATTATATTATATTATATTATATTATATTATATTATATTATATTATATTATATTATATTATATTATATTATATTATATTATATTATATTATATTATATTATATTATATTATATTATATTATATTATATTATATTATATTATATTATATTATATTATATTATATTATATTATATTATATTATATTATATTATATTATATTATATTATATTATATTATATTATATTATATTATATTATATTATATTATATTATATTATATTATATTATATTATATTATATTATATTATATTATATTATATTATATTATATTATATTATATTATATTATATTATATTATATTATATTATATTATATTATATTATATTATATTATATTATATTATATTATATTATATTATATTATATTATATTATATTATATTATATTATATTATATTATATTATATTATATTATATTATATTATATTATATTATATTATATTATATTATATTATATTATATTATATTATATTATATTATATTATATTATATTATATTATATTATATTATATTATATTATATTATATTATATTATATTATATTATATTATATTATATTATATTATATTATATTATATTATATTATATTATATTATATTATATTATATTATATTATATTATATTATATTATATTATATTATATTATATTATATTATATTATATTATATTATATTATATTATATTATATTATATTATATTATATTATATTATATTATATTATATTATATTATATTATATTATATTATATTATATTATATTATATTATATTATATTATATTATATTATATTATATTATATTATATTATATTATATTATATTATATTATATTATATTATATTATATTATATTATATTATATTATATTATATTATATTATATTATATTATATTATATTATATTATATTATATT